CAAAGAAAGAAACCTATATCTGAAAGGGAACCCTAAATTCGACGTAGAAAAAGAGTTCTATAAGAGCAGGAAGTTCCCAGAGTCTTCTGTTTCTTAAAATGGGTTGACCTCAGCCCAGCCCACAGGTGGAAGAGTCTGATGGAGCCATTGTGCTGGGAGTCATTTGCCCTTCCTAAGTTTCTAGACACACGTATCTCTCACTGCTTTGGAAATGAGGAAGCGCCTATTTCTAGAGATGGGTTGGTATCAACTGTGACCAATACACTGTTGACTGAGTGTGGAGAGCCGGGCTAAGATTGTGGTTCCCATATTCACGTCTTTGAATCCACATCTTTGAATCCACTCTGATCCCTGTCTGGATCCTACCCAAGGCTTCAGAACCAGGAGCCCTCTGCAGTGGTGTCAGGCAGAGACTGGCCTGCTCAGCAACCCAAGGCAGCAGGTGGGGGGGTAAAATGGACTGATAAGGAAGACCTTGGCCAATTAAAGACCTGGTCGGTATTAGTTACAATTCTCGTAGCTATGGCAGAAACCCCGATAAAACCTCCTTAAGGGAGGGAGGGTTTCTTCTGAATTATGACTTGAGGGTGTGGTCCATCACTGGAGAAGGCGGCAGTGATGATTGGTCCTATCACATCCTGAATCAGGAAGCAGAGCGTTGAATGCTGCTGCTTAACTCACTTCCTCCTCTTTTGTTTTTGTTTTTCGAGACAGGGTTTCTCTGCGGCTTTGGAACCTGTCCTGGAACTAGCTCTGTAGACCAGGCTGGTCTCGAACTCACAGAGATCCGCCTGCCTCTGCCTCCCGAGTGCTGGGATTAAAGGCGTGCCCCACCAACGCCCGGCTCACTTTCTCCTCTTAAAAAAATTTCCTGGGGAGAGGGGGGAGCACATGCCTTTAATCCCAGCACCTGGAAGGCAGAGGCAGGAGGATCTCTGTGAGTTCAAGGCTAGCCTAATCTACAGAGTGAGTTCCAGGACAGCCGAAGCTACACAGTGAGACCCTGTCTCAAAAACCAAAACGACAACAACAAAAATTGTAGCCAAGTGTTGTGGGCACACCTTTGATCCCAGCGCTCAAGAGACAGAGGCAGGCAGAACTCTTCAGGACAGCCTGGTCTACAAAATGAGTTCCAGAACAGCCAGGAGCACACAGAGAAACCCTGTCTTGAAACAAACAGACAGACAAATCCTGTATGTACATCTGTGTGTCTGTGTCTTACATATACATAGATGTTCATGCGTGTAAATGTGGCACCCGAGTGACATGGTGTGCATATGCAGTCAGAGTGCAACCGCAGGTGTCAGGCTTGCCTTCTCTCTTATTGGAGACAGGCTCTCTTGCGGTTTGCTTCAGCATGCAGCAGGCTAGCTGGCCTGTGAGCTTCTGGGAATTCACTGTCTCTGCCTCCCAGCTTGACCTAGGAACACCAGGGTTACAGGAATATGCCATCAAGTCTGACCTTACACAGGTTCTGAGGATTCAAACTCAGATCCTGCAGGCACTTTTCCCCAGGCCTCTCTCTCCCCAGTTTTCAAACTCTCAGGGTGGGTCTTCCCTGTCAGTTACAACTCTCTGGAAATACCTGGAGGTGTATCTCCTAGGTGACTCTAAATCCAGTCAAACTGATAGTGAAGACAGTTACCATCCAATCCAGAAAAAAGAAAAAAGAAAATTAATGTATGCTGCTTTTGTCTTTATAGCCGTCTACCACTGGCTCCTGCAGTTGCCAGCTAGCGTCTCCTCTAAACGAATTACATCCTCAGTTTCCTGACAGCAGTGACTTTGCATTAATTGCACCTTCATCTCATTTCTAGCCAGTTCTTTCCCAAAAAGCACCAGAAGAGTCTCTTCCATCTCAAGAGGCTTTTGAAGAACTCTTAGGTACCAACACTACTGTCCTATTTTATCTACATGCACAGGCCTCAAACGCC